CACAGTGAATTAAAGTTCACAGCTCTTACAACTCAGGTAAACTATTTTAAGTTTTCATAAATAGGTTTGCCTTTTTGCCCTTTTTACACTAGCTGTGTTAGCTGAAACCTTTTGTTCTAAATGTTTGTGACGTTTCTGGCTAATGAGTTCAAGGGTATTGATTTTTCTTGCAAAGACAGCATCTTCCCTAATTATACAGGGCTTCTCCGGCACGCGGCATTGCTCCCATCTGCCTCAGACCCTCCACACAGAACCTGGGAGCCATGGCCCCCTCAAATCAGGGGCAAGGTCTCTATCAGGTACCCCAAGGCCCCTCCCACAACTGTACCCTGGTCCACCTCATGTGTTAAGGCCTCAGCCCACAGTCCTCCCTCCCTGAGCCTATCTGGGAACATCTTTCTAAAGCTGCTTGGAGTGATGAAGCTTTGTCATCGCAGTGGGACAAACCGACCTCCTGCCCATCTCCTGTGGAGAAGGATGAGTGGCCAAGGTGGCCGAACAAGGAGGTGAGGGAGAGAGAAATGAACTTAGAGAGTGCAGGCTGGCAGGGCCCCTCCTGCAGGGAAGCCCTCCACCCTGCTGCCCAGGTTGCCTGGGGACTACTGGCTCTCGCCCACAGGGCAAATGACGTCTACAACAAGCAAGCTGCTGCCTCCACTCCAGAGGAACCGCAGCCTTTGCCCATCTGCTAACCTCAGCTGCTCAAAGTCAAGCAGGAGCCAGGCACTCTTGCACTGACTCAGTTCTCAGCTGCACAGCCAGAAGGTTCTCTGCAGTCCATGGCGCCACAGCAGAGCCCACCACTCTGAGGCAGGGAAGCTCGGTCAGGTCTCAGACAGGTGATATGCATCAGAATCACCTGTGGAATGTGATAGAAAGACAAGGACCAGGCTCCCTGCCCCCGAGGCTCTCTTCCCTGAGGCAGGAGGTGAGGCCCAAAGTTTGCTGGCTGAGGAGGCTCCTGTGTCAGCTGGAGCCCTTGTTTGGATTCCCCTGTGTGATGTGGCTTCCAGAGGGCTGGGGATGGGGCTGTCGCTGCAGCGTTAGATCACTGAACAGCAAGCTGGGAGTCTGCATGAGGGAATGCCGATGGGAGCAAGGGACTAGACATGTTCAGGATAGCGGCTCCACCTTCCCTTCTCTGCCAGCACGTGTGCGGTGAAGAGCAGACAAGATGGCCCGGATCCACTGGAAAGTCCATTTGCATAATAAGATTAGGGTGGGGCGACCAGCCTTCCCCCATGCACTATGTAAACGCCATACCTGATCCACCCAATCTGTGAGGCCTGTGTAAATCAGACACAGCCTTCTTAAACCAGACTATAAAATCCGGCGCATTGGCCACCAGCTGGTCCCTTCCACTTGGAGACCTCTTTCTCTTCTGCCTATCAAACCTCTGCTCCTAAACTCCTCGTGTGTGTCCATGTTCTAAATTTTCCTGGCGCACAACAAGGAAACCCAGAAATATAGACCCCAGACAACGTAGCTCCTTCACTGCCATCCCTACTGCAGTTAATATGGGTCCAGCACGACAGGCCTCGTCAACTGCTCAAACAAGACACTCAAAGTGGAGCCCAGCAAATGCCTTTCTCCGCTCTTCAGAGTGTCCCGTAGGATTTCTTGAAAGGCTGAGCCTCAGCAACGTGCAAGAGTGAACTACACCCTACTGGAAAAATACGAGGAGCAGAAGGAAGGCCAACCTTGGGAATCAGAAGCCCTCAGGGCAGGTTTCAGGATACAAGAGGGGGGCCAAATCGTTCTCGGCCATTCTCATTTCACAAAGCAAAAGTGGCTAGTCCAGCAGAGGGCACGGCCCAGGAGCAGACAGCTCCCTCGGGTGCATTTTAAAAAACAACCATGAAAGCCCTTCGACTTGGTGAAAAACAGACAGGCAGCCTTTTACCCTAAAGTGTACTCAACAGTGAAAGAAAAAGAAGTACGTTTCTTAGCAAAGAGTAGCCAGCTTCAGCCATCTGTTTCCTCACTGACGGTAGCAGTCAATAATTAGACCATGCATTGTAAGAAAATATCTGCAGCATATATACTGGATTAATCATTTCTTAAAAAAACGGCCTAGTGAAAAATTAGCAAAGTCTGCACAATTCACCACAGTACACGTGTAGCTAATACATGAGCACAGCCTCATCAGTGATGTGGAAATGCAAATTGATAAGATCTGTGTCTCCCCCTCCTATTAGGCAGAAACAGAATCAACCAATAATATCTAGTTTTTGTGAGGATATGAGAAAAGCGTATGGGTAGGGGGATAAATTGGTGTGGTCTTCCTCAAGGAAAATTTGTCAACACCTATCAAAGTGTGCTGGGGCCCGGCAACAGAAGCTGGCTGAGGATGTTAATGTTGCTGATAGCAGCGTCCAGCTGGATGCACTCTCTGGTCGCCTTTCATTCAGGGGTCCCCAGCACCCAGCCATGGACCGGTACTGGTCTGTGCCCTGTCAGGATCTGGGTTGCACAACAGGAGGTGAGCAGTGGATGAGTGAGCCAAGCTTCATCTGTATTTACCGCCGCTCCCCATGGCTCACGTCACCGCCTGAGCTCAGCCTCCTGTCAGATCAGCAGCAGCATTAGATTCTCATAGGAGTGCAAGCCCTATTGTGAACTGCGCATGGGAGGGATCTAGGCTGCAGGCTCCTTATGAGAATCTAATGCCTGATGATCAGTCACTGTCTCCCATCACCCCCAGATGAGACCATCTAGTTGCAGGAACACAAACTCAGGACTCCCACTAATTCTACATGAGGGTGAGTTGTGTCATTATTTCATTATATATTAAAATGTAATAATAATAGAAATAAAGTGCACAATAAATGTAATGTGCTTGAATCATCCTGAAACCATCCCCCTTACCCCATCTGTGGAAAAATTGTCTTCCATGAAACCAGTCCCTGATGCCAAAAAGGTTGGGAACCATTGCTTTAAGTCAGTAAGGAAAACCTAGACCAAACTTTTAGCCAAGACAAGCATCCACAGAGAGCGGCTCCAGGTGCAATGTCATACAAAGCTAAAGCCTGACACTGGGTCTTCCTGAGATAGAGTGCAGGTGTAGTGGGATTCAGAAGCTGGTCCCCTACCTGGAGTCCTTCTCATTGGCATTTGTCCACTGCTACTGAGGAACATTCCTGTGCTCGTTTCTGTACCAGACACTGTGCCATGGGCGTGATGCTCATCATCTCCTTAAGTCCTCACAATAGGCTGTGAGTGAGGTGATTATCCCCATTTCAGAAGGTAAGGAACGGACTCTGAGAGGCAAGGTTTTAAATGAAAATCAATAATCAGCTCCATCAGCTTCAGCTGTAACACAGATTGCTTTTCTTTTAAAGGTACAGAAGTAAAAGGGTGGTTTTAAGGAGGAGCAGCCCATGAATGTGAGCCGGGTGGGGGCATTTCTTTCCATAGCTATGTTTTCCCCTGAATGAACAGACATTAGAGCCACAGTGGCATTTGTTTACCAACTACAGGGGCTAGTGCGGTGAATGAAAGAGTATCTTTACGTGGTCATTGTTTTTAGAAATTTCCAACCAAACTCCTCTACTTACTGCTGTTCAAAGAGTAGCTTCCAAATCAAGATTTAAAAACAGTTATTCTTCCAATAATTTAAGGTAATGTCCTGGGTGTTCATCTTGGGTACTCTAGAAGGGCTGAGCAGGCTGGGCCTTAGTATGGGGCAGGATGCATGGGAGGCTAAGCCAGGTGCACTTCTAGGAGGCAGCATGTCTCCGAACTGTTGGCTTTAATTTGTCTCATGTGAGATGCGAATTGAGAGGAGGGTTTAGCAGTATTGGCAGCGTTTGTAAACATTTGTTACGTTATGTGACCTTGCCAGTTGACGTTGGCCAACTGACTTGTTGACCAGTCCAGGTATCTACAAACTTGTGGCCTGAGCCACCTACAATTTCTACACAACCCACAATGTGTCACGGTTTTGTCAGCTGTAAGCCAATAGAGTATACAATTATGGAATTCTTTCTTTTCATCAAATGAAGTTTTAACTACAATTTGTCAAGGTAAACTGTGGCAATGGAATCCTGATGAAGGACTGGAGATGAATAAAGCACCATTTTGCTTTAATTTGGATAAAACTTAAAGAGGAATAGCCTGAGCTTGATGAGTTTACTTCATAATCTTTTTCAGATCCCATCAACGTGTCTCTGAGAGTGTTCTGTCTATCATGTGTTATTACAACAAAACATAGAAATCATTTAGGGAGACATTTTCCTCTATGAGTGGGGTTGTTGCTCAGTTAGATCAGCCAGAAAAAAAGTCATCTGTCATATTCAAAATACTAAGTATTGATATACATAGTGTTAATTTATTACATTATATAAAAGCATTACTTTGCAAGGTTTCAAAATTGAAAACAAAACTGAGCTTCACCACAGTTTAAGAGCCACTGCCCTAATGGGAATTCCCAGGCAGGGATGGAAAAGGGTGTGAGTGTGTGAGTGTGTGTGTGTGTATGTGTGTAACTGGGTAGCCAGACATAAAGGGAAGAGATAAAACAGCTCCCTTTCATCAATAAAACCACAATCGTCTTGGATAATTATATATTGCATAGTCCCCATCGTAAACAAAAACATATGTTTCCATTTTGGTTGAAATGAAAGCTAACTATTTCTCTTTTCCAGGCCGGCTTTGCTGCCTGGTCAGTGAGCTCAGGCCACTAATGAATGGGTGGCATCCCAGCGTCTACCCACGAAAGACCCATTCTGACCTCCCAGAGCAAAACCCCACTGTTTAAAGGGCACAGAGGGCAAAGCCCTGTTGGCTTCCCTCCTTCCCTCCCTCCCTCTGTCTCACACCCATCTTCCTGTAAACCTTTTTGCTTGTAGAGAACCTTCCTAGAAGGTGAGCATGGCCCAAAATATGCCCCTGACTACCACAGAAAGACATTGTACCCAGCGCAGCTCTGGGGAAAATAGAAGCCTCCACCCAATAGCCCAAACCCTGCCCTTTCCTTTGGAATCCACTAGTCCTAGGCCTGGCCATCGAACTTTGGTTTTAATTTACTTGTGCCGCAGGGTGACTGACATGGGTTTTTTTCTTCTTGCTAGAATACAATTGCAAAGTGAGTCTTCATGTCCATGATGCGGAGGCCCTCTGTGGAACTCAGTGTCATTTGGAAGATCCCCAGTGGTGATGGGTAAGAATGGCAGCTGACAGTGGGCCTTCCCACAGGTCTTTGGGGAAGACAGAATTTAGAGCTGGGGGCCTCTGATCATCCTAGTCCTTCACACAACATTTCTCAGCGTGCCCTGAGGGGCAGAGTCAGTAAATGTGACCCCAAAGTCTGGAAGCAGGCACTCCCGTTTCTCTGGTTTAGAAAGGGGCTGCAGGCCAGGGTAAGAGATCATTTGGAATGTGTCCATTTGTGACTTTCACAACGTCAGATTAATTTGTCTTCTTTAATGTGTAAACTGCCAACATGACTTCCTGATTCTCTCATCTTTCTCGATTTCCCTTTTCATGGGATTTCTGTAAAGAGGTGACCCGTTGGTTTGTTGAGCACTCATGGGTCACAGGTATGGGTAGAAGCCAGGTCCCTTTAAGTGAAAGCTCACTGGCTCCACGTGGTCCATCCCCCTGTCTGTCTTTTGCCGGAAAAGCCTCCTTGGGATCACCACTGATGAGCATATCATGCCGCAGTATGACTTGATGCCTATCACTTGGTCTTCAGTCCATCAAAAGAAAGGTGCTGGTCTCTGGTCCTGCCTGGAGTCAATGCTGACCTCAGCATTTGCACTACTGTAGATTTTCACTGGAGGTGAAGACAATGCTGCGTCAAGCCAACCTACAAGTCTCTGCCCAGGGGAAGGTGCATTGCAATACAAGCCTCCCTAAAACCCCATCCATAACCTTGGTAGACTCCACAAAATGAAAAATACCATAAGCTGCCATTACACACGCTCTCCAATGCAAATTACATTCCCTAAGGATGCAATTTATTTTCTTTTCATTGTATTTAATTCCAAAAGAAAGGTCACACTTCTTTGCTAGGTAGGCAAGCTGTTCCGAAGGACACACTAGAGAAAGCACCACTCCCCACCCCAAACCACATTCCCAACACACTCACCTGCCCACACTCACACAATCACATACACACGCCCACACTTACATACACATGCTGACACCTGTGCACTCATGTGCACACACTCATTCACACTGTTCTACACATTCACACTCAGGCATACTCATAGGCCTCATGAACACACTTACCTGTGCATACTCATACACATGCAGACACTCACGGGCACACTCATACATGCTCACATGCTCATTTGCACCCAGACAGAGGCATACACATTCATTTGCATGCACGCACACACTTTTTAATGTAACGATTTACAGGAAAGAACAGCTGGAACTCGCTGGGATAACCAGGTACGAGTGCTCTCTGCAGAGAATAATGGCACACAGGTTTGTGTCTTCTGACTGAGGGCCCTCCTGAAGGGACGTCTGTACCTCCTCCCTCCTTTTACACAAGGCGACAGGTCAGAGGCCAGGGTGGGACCAGAGCGAGGGAGGCATCGTCTCTGGCAGCAGCACTTACCACTCCACACTGTGGAGGCCAGAACAGCACCCCAGAGAACACTCATTTGCACAGGGGAAATGGCTCATCTTTCAAACAATGGCAGAAGAAATCCAGCAAAGGTCACTTTTCCTGTGTGAGCATGTTGAAGGCCAGAGAGTGGCTACTTCTCTGCCTCCTGCAACTCCCTCAGTGTGGCTTGGAGGAGTCGGCGAAGCTTCCAGAACACGCTGGGGGTATCTCTCCGGGTGTTCCCGCTGGGGACCCCAGGGTCTGCACATTCCTGCACCGCCTCCTGTAACTGCAGCTGAAGCTGGAAAGAGACTGCAGAACTCTTGAGAGGTGCGGAAAACCAATGGCGAAATATTTTGTCACAGATGACCTGAGGGAAAGAAGGTGGGCAGTTAATTTAGGGCAGCAAATCCTCCTGAAAGCTGCCCAAGCCCAGGATTGGTTCTGAAACATCTCGGCTTCTCTCCCACCCCCACCCCCACCCCCACCCCCGTCCTTCAGGGAGCACACTCCAGAGACCATCCGATTTGGAAACATGCATTCAGTTCTGCCCCTTAAACCCTTCAGCACCATGAACAAGCGATGCCTCCGAGAGAAGCCAACGTCTGTGTGAGGCAGAAACTTCCCTTTCCAGCCCCCTAGCAGATGGACGAAGCTCTGGGCGACGCTGTAAAAGGACTGGACACATTTCTAGGGAGGAAGGGAAGCAAAAGTCACAGTCACTGCTGCAGAAGGAGTTGGTCCTTTGCAGGCCTGAGGGAGGTCAGCTTTGCTGTCACCACCTGGAGACGAGATTTCTTATCCACAAGCCGGTCCTAGTGACCACATTGACCATCTGACCGGGTCGTCCAGGGGGCCAAACAGTGCATGAGGGAGAAGTGTGTGAACCTGAGTGACCGCCTGTGTAGCACTTTAAGGCTCATGAAACAAAGGTATATTTGACAGAAAAGGCTGCAGGCATAAGGATCTTTGAAGGCTCTGTGAAATGTGTTATTCTAGGAGCAGAGGTAAAAAATTAGACGCCCTCTTTAATTCTTATCAGGTATGAAATTCAGTGATGCTGAGGATCCTGGAAATTTCTCCCTGTAAACATCTTGTTTGTTTTGTAGCTCTGACAGCTTCCCCCACGTTGGGAGAAATGACCTGCCCCTGCATGGTGCATCATGCTTTATTACTCGATATCACACTTTATATCAGACTCAATTAACAAATGCCTCCATTGTAAAGAGCTGCTGCTTCACAGAGGACAAAAACCTTCAACTTCTATTTCACAATCCCCACAAAGGCAAGGATTCTTTTCAAAACCTAATTATGGCTTTTTTTTTTTTAATAGAGAATACATTTTCATGTGCAAAATTTAAAATGTTCTTAAGGCTAGACTGCGATCTCAGGCTCCACCTCACCCCGACGCTCAGCTCCCACTCTGAGAATGAGACATTCTTTGACATACACATTTCCTTTTTCTTTTATTTCACACATAGGTAATATATTATACACACTGTTCTCAATCTTCCACCCCTGTTTATATGAGGGAGATCCCTCCAAATTGATTTTTCTTTTTGAGACAGGCTCTCACTCTGTTACCCAGGCTGGAGTGCAGTGGTACCATCTTGGCTCACTACAACTTTGACCTCCTTTGTTCAAGCGATCCTCCTACCTCAGCCTCCTGAGTAGCTGGGACTACAAGGGCATACCACCATGCCTGGCTAGTTTTTGTATTTTTTGTAGAGACAGGGTTTTGCCATGTTGCCCAGGCTGTTCTTGAACTCCAGGGCTCAAGCGATTCACCCACCCTGGCCTCCCAAAGTGCTGGGACTGCAGGCGTGAGCCACAACGCCCAGCCATTCCCTCCAAATCAGTTCTTATGAGGATATTCCATGTGATTTAATGGCTACTTCTGAAATGTGTGCATGTGTCATAAGTTATTTGACCAGTTCCCTATAGATGGAATTGAGGTTGCATAATAACTTTTGCTATTATGAACAATGCTGCAATAAATGTCTTGCAGATATATGCTATTGCATTTTGTGCATGTGACTACGTTTCTAGAAATAGGATTTCTGGGTCAAAGGGCATGTGCATTTTTTGTTTTGATAGATACGTTAAATTGACTCCATAAGATTTCTTCTCATTTACACTCCCCAGCAATGTATCCAAGACTGCTCATCCTCCCTTAGCCACTCCAACACAAATGTCACAGATTCATTTTGCCAACAGATGGGTGAAAATGGTTTAATTTGCATCTTTCTTAGTTTGAGAGTTATTTGTGCTTCCTTTTCAATGAATGGTCAAGTTTATATTTTTGGCCTTTGTTGTGTTCATTTGTAGATGCTCTTTATATCTTAAGGACATCGCCCTTGCTTTAGGTTGGTTCCCCAGGAAGTAGACTCTAAGACGGAGGTTTGCACACAGGGATTCTTTGAGGTCTGTCCTTGGGAAGCGCACTCCATGAAACTGAGGAAGAAGTAAATGTGTGGGGCTGGGGGGGTCCCTGTGGAGTTGTCCGTTAGTGAGGCACAGGGGCCTTGGTGTCAGGCCCACCCTCTTTAACCAATCACTAGATGCTGACCCTGGAAAGTGGGTCTTCCCTTGGCAAAGCCAGTCCTGGGGGGAATGAGCTCCAGCAGCCGGGGCTAAGCCCCCTTCCACCCTCTACATTCCTGGTCTATAAGAAAAACTCCAAATGTTTTACAAATATTCTCATTTAACTTTTAAATTTGCTCTTTTTTTTTTTTTTTTTTTTTGTTTTTTAAAAGGTTTTTTTTTTTTTGTTTTTTTTTTTTTTTTTTTTTTTCTGAAAGATAATTAAATTTGTGAACTGTTCCTCTTTGGCTTTGTTTCATACTTACAAAGGCCTTCTCTATACTAGTATTTGAAACTCTCCCAGCTTTTTCTGGTACCTTAAGGATTTCTTCTTTTTATGTGTAAGTATCTGAGCCATCTGGAATCTAGTCTGAGGTCAGGAGGAGGGAGCTACCTTGGTGTTTGTCGTGCCTGGCAGCCAGTTCACCAGCACCGTTCACTGTGCGACCCAGCTGACCCTGCCCTGGTCTACAAGGCCCCCTTTATCAGAAGCTAAATATTTGTATTTCATTAGTCTATTTCTGAGATAGTTTTTATTCCATTTCATTGATTTGTAAATTTATATAGAACAAGAATTTTGGGGGTAATTTGGGTTGAAAATGCAGAATATTAAGGCTGGGTGTGGTAGCTCAAGCCTGTAATCCCAGAATTTTGGTAGCTCAAACCTGTAATTTTGGGAATTAGAATTTTGGGAGGCCAAGATGGGAGGATCACTTGAGGCCAAAAGTTTGAGACCAGCCTGGGCAACATAGTGAAACCATGTCTCTGCAAAAAGTAAATTAAAAAATTAGCTAGGTGTGGTGGCATGCACCTGTAGTCCTGTTTATTTGGGAGGCTGAGGTGAGAGGATCCCTTGAGCCCAGGAGTTCGAGGCTGCAGTGAGCTATGGTTGCGCCACTGCACTCTAGCCTGGGTGATGAAGCGAGACCCTGTCTCTAAAATAAAATAAAATAGAAATAAAAAGTAATAAACTAAGAAAATATAAAATAAAGAAAATTGTAATCCTACTTTCCAGAAATACTTGCTTTTGACATTTTGGTATATAAGGGATTATATGCTATTTAACAGAAATGGAATGGTATTGTAAATATTAATTTGTAACCTGCATTTTTTTCACCTAATAATGGTTCATATTTTCTCATATCCTTAAAGAAAATGTAATTTCATTTTCAGGACTTTATTCAAAGTCAATAATCAGATATGTGTACAAATAAAATTGCTCAGCTAAAGAGCATGGCTATGTCTAACAGCCATGACCCCTCAAGAGAGAAGTAATTCACAATCACGTTAACCATATAGACACTTTTCTATTTCCCTGAAGCCTCAACTGTTAATTAATAGCATTTAAATAACTACTCCCAATTGGTAAGTGAAATTTACAATCATTGGATTTTAATCTGAATGTCTTTGAATGGTAAGATAAAATGCTTTTCTGTCGGGTGCGGTGGCTCACGCCTGGAATCCCAGCACTTTTGGGAGGCCGAGGCGGGCAGATCACAAGGTCAGCAGTTCGAGACCATCCTGACCAACATGGTGAAACCCTGTATCTACTAAAAATACAAAAAAATTAGCTGGGTGTGGTGGTGGGCGCCTGTAATCCCAGTTACTCAGGAGGCTGAGGCAGGAGAATCTCTTGAAACCAGAAAGCAGAGTTTGCAGTGAGCCAAGATTGCACCACTGCACTCTAGCCTGGGCAACGAGAGCAAAACTGTCTTCAAAAAAAAAAAAAAAGTTTGTCCAAGTTGTCTGGCCATTTGGATTTCATCGTTTGTGTGTTTGGTGCCTGTTCTGCCAATTTTCTTTGTGTTCCTCTTGCCCCTTGATGAATTGGTAAGAGCCCTTTCTACAGAAAGGGTGTAAACTCAGCCTCTCATTACATCGCAAAGAGCAGGCATTTGTATTCCCATTTTGTGAGCTGGGATCACAAGGCAGTGGACACTCAGGTGAAAATTATCTTCTTCCCACAGCTCAAGAAGAATGATTTCATGACAGACCTCACCAAGGGTGTGAGTCCACATTAAAGAGGCTGGGATGGAGATGCCTCTGAAGGCAGCTACATTCCTAGGCTTCCTGAAAGGGAAATGCTCAGTGATTCTTTGGCCTAAAAGGTCTGTGTAGACTCTGGGGTGGTGGAGTCGGGGTGTTCGTTTGGCTTGGTTGGGACCACTAGGTTAACAGCAGACCTGTCCCCACCTTCCCAAATCATCCCACATCACGACTGATGCAGCACCACACGGGGCTCCTCTCTCCTCTCTCTCCTGCTCCTACCTCACCTGCATTTTGGGTCTGCAGTGTCCTCACATTGGCCTTTCAGGTTTAAGGAATGAGGAGGACAAGCTACAGTGGAGGACCCTCTAGGAGAGTGGGTTGGATAGTGTGGGTCCAGAGCCTCCATAAGCCATTGCATGAAACCAGGCCATAGGGGAGGTCTGCCTAGACACTGCGGAGCCTCCTCCGGGTATGATCAGTGCCTGTGGGCCCAGATGTCTCCGCCGTCACCTGAAAGCCTCAAGTGAGGGCAGAAAGAGACAGCTTCTGCCAAAAGAGGGGAGATGCTCCAACCCCAGCTGGGGGACCTGAGACCCGCCAGCTCTGGCTGCCTGAACCCTGTATGTATTCCATTTGCGGCTGATCTCCTGGACTCGGCTCCTTTCTTCCTCTCTAAACCACCTCCTGGTACTGACCTCTGGCCTGTCTGGATGGTAGTTTCTGTTCAACCTCTAGTTAGGCCAGTGTCTCGGGACTGCTTCGCACCCTTCTCAGTATTATCTTTGATGGATTAGTCTCAGGGTTCTCATCGTGTATGTGCCCATGCTTATGAGAGGTGGTAGATACGTGGGGTGGAGCCTGGGCAAGAGGAAGCCCAGCAGCCAGCTCTGCAGGAGCTCCCTCATCAGATGCCCCTAGTCGCCTGGCCCAACAACCCTGGGGGTAGGCAACCAAGAGCACATGATTGTCCCATCCCCACCCTCCTGCCTTTATTGACCACATCGAGCCAGATGGATGGCCTGAAAAGGTTGACCTTGAGCTCCACTGAGGGTATCTGAAGTGCCAGCAGGCAGAAACAGCCAGACAGCACCCTCTCTCCCCCCAGCCCCGGCAGCCTCTGCTTACCTGCAGGTTGTTGTTGACGCGCTGCGCTCCGCACTTGTTGACTCGTAAATCACATCTTGAAAAACAGTCAAAGAAATTGCAGTCTTCATCGTCTGTGCAATTTTGCTCGAGGATTTCCCTCATTTTAGGTTCAAAAAAGGCCATGTCCACATCAATAGCCACCACCTGTAATCAAAACAGCACGGGGCTATCAAAGGACTACTGGTGGGCTCCGCGGAGAGACAGCCTGTTCACAACTTCGGTTCACCTCGTGCGGGTGCCACTGTCCAGGTCACAGGTGATCCCACAACTCCCACGAGCCAAGAGGAAAGCCCCGGCCATGTCCTGGGGAGTGGATTGATCCCCTAAAGTGTCTGCATGCATTTTCTTTTACACAGGCGACTGTCATAGTTACAGTGGAAGGCTTTAACTGCAAAAAAGACCTCTGCAGCCACCAGTGAAAGCCCAGGATTTGGAACTATCACCACAAGTATCACTTCTCGTCTTTAGTCATTTTCTCAGCTTTGCAAGTAGCAACTCTGAGAGACCTTATACATGAATTTCCCCTCCGCTGCCTTACCACGTGGGTCTCTGACCTTCAAGGGTCAGGATTCTAAAAGCTGTAAGATACAGCGAATCTATTCCCGTAAATACAAGCAATCCAGGGAATCCTTGTTTGAGTGGCGGGTCTCCAGGTGTGATGGAGAAACTGAGGTGGGCAGTGCCTACATTCTCTTCATGGCATGTCTGTTACCTGAGTCAGCTGGTTTCAGACTGACCAGTCAGATGACAAAGTGGGGGAAATATCAAAGTTCTCGAATTAGGACTGATACACAGAGGCCCTGAACAGGAGCGACGCCTGAGTTCCACTGTCATCGTGAGAACCTGATGACCGCTGGAACTTCAGATTTATCTTCCTGGCATCGAACCAAACAGACTTCAAAAACAGAGAGAGAATAACTTCTAAATTATGTAGCTCTTCCACCGCCACCTGGATGCAACAACAAAAACAGATGAGCTCAAACCTGAGAAAACCTGGAATCTGCCCAAATCAAGCTGTTTATAGCTTCGAGGTATTAAACAGCCACTAGGAAAGTTGATGAACTTGATGGAGTCAGTGGCATTTCACAAGCCTTCACAGGTCAGCATTGAAATATCAGCCTTTCTGTTTCCCTCTGGGAGTTTCGAAAAGGGTTTCATTTGCTGGTCATTGCCTCTTCAATCCTACGCAGTTTGGGAGGCACCTTTTGGTTTTGGTTTTAGTTTTTCATTCAGGATTGATGCTAGAAGGCAATGAAGTTTCTTGGGGATTATTTAGTAAAACAGAGCAGGGGAGAATAATTTCGTTCAAAATATGTGGAGAATAATGAAGATAAACAATACAGACAGACCTTTTCTCTATTTAAGGGGTTTTGCCTAATTACTAATTCAGGCGCTGTAAGCAACTTCTCATTTTAATCTTTCCTATCCCATTATTTAGCCAAAACAAATAGCCGATTTCATTATTTACCCCGGTTAATACACTAAAAATGAATAAGGACTATGCTAATGAATCTCGCATCTTTATAATTCATTATTGGGGCTACATGACTTTTCTATTCTTTCTATGGTTTCTTGCGATCTCCCCAGCCTCCCCCAGGCCCCTACTTAGAATTTTAGCTTCTTGCAACTTCTCCTTCCCATTTCTGATAGTTTCCTTCTCATCTCCCAGGGAGAGCCAGATTTATTTTTTAATTTTTAGTGTATGGGGTCTAGAATGGATTACAACTCTTATAAACATAACCCTATGCACCTAAAATAAGAACAGTATTTCTTAAAAAAAAAAAAAAAAAAAAAACCTACATCATGTTTCTTAATATCAAGAGAATCATAAAGTCCTTCCTGCATAAAATTACCTAACTTGCCTCTTCTTCTTCAAACTTCCTCCTGGCATCAGAACAGGAAGATGAATGAGAATTATTTCATTCTTCACCAAAAACTGTGGCCCTGGCGTAGGAAGCCATACCATCTGTTGGAAAAGATCACTGACTGGCAATAGTTTCGGATCATGAAGGTTCCTAGTTTTTCATTTACAGCCACTGGACACATTCTCAAGATCTGCAAGTGTGCACCTGCCCTGCAGACGAGAGAACGACTGTGAATGACCAATTCTTACACCTCCACTGGGAGGTGCCCCTTCCTTCTGCCAGGGCAGCCCAGCAACCTGGGCTCAAAGGCAGGACCCACCTGCCGGGACTCTGAGATCACTAGCTCTCAAACTTGAGCACACATGAGAATCAACTAGGAGCCTTGTTTTGAAGACCGGGATTGCTGGCTCCCACCCCTACCATTTCAGGTTTAATAGGTCTGGCGTGGTGTCTGAGATTTGCATTTCTAAATGAGCTCTCTGATCATGCAGATACTGCTGGTTTTCACTTAAAAGTTGTAAAATCTTGGGTAAAATAATTCCTTGAACTTCAGGGTCTGCAAGAACGGTGGAGAACAGGACTGGTGAAGGGGTCTCCTCCTGCCCTCCCCTCCCTATTCTTGCCCAGGCCAAGGCTGCAGTGGAGGTAAGAGTCCTGAGCAGTGCAGCACCAGCCGACAAAATACAGTCTGGTGCTAGGTTGAGGACGCACAGTCACGATTTCTTTGAACAAATATTTTCTGCTGATGGTGTGCAAGATACTGGAGGCACAACTTAGGTGGTTCCCACAAACCAATAACTGGATAATCAACAAGTATGTAGGTAAAAGCATCTGATGTCGCCCACTCGGCATCACAGACCCCATCAGCCTCGGCTCCTTCAAGAAACGGATATCCTTGAAGTTCCCGCAACAATTACAGCACCTGCTGGGTCCCACTCATTGATGCCCACTGATACCCGCTGGAGGAATAAGGGAGTGACTGAGTGGCGAGAACTGGCCCGCAGCTGCCCGGAGCTGGGGGAGGTGGGTTGTGCGTGGATACTCCCTGACTTCCTCCTCAAGGCCTCAGTGTGGCTGTGGGTCATTCCCCATGACACACATATCGGGACAGTGTCTGGGAGATGCTCAGGGTATTGCAGGTGGGGCTGAGTTCCCCCCGAGCTCCCAGCCCAGCACACAGACCTCCTGGAACCTCCCAGAACCTCCTAGCTATTTCCCTGACACCGCTGACTGGTCAGCCCCTCCAGGGCAGCAGGAGGCGAGGCATTAGGACAAAGCACTCAGGGCAAGATGTGTGATGCCCTTCACAGGAATGAGGGCATTACACTGGCAGCAAATTTAGTTTTCCAGCTGCTTTCAGAAGACCATGGCCACTCCTAGGCTACTTGCCTTGGAGGCCATGACTGGCAGTCACAGTGCCTGCTTTTTGTCCCTTTATGTTGCAACCATGCTGAAGAGCATGGTCCCACCATGAACCAGGCCCCCACAGTGACCAGCACGCCCAGGTGACTGGAGCTAAGCTGGTCTGGCCGTTCTGCTGCCGGCACTGGCCGCGTCAGAATGAACTTGTTACAGCAGGTGGGGGAGCAGAGTATGCCACCTTCCCCAAACTTATCCTGCAGCCACGACATCCCTGCCAGTCTTATTACTACTTCCTGTTGGATGGTCCCAGCGCCTGGCACAGCATGAGGGCACCGGGATGATCGCAGCCGCATTAATCTGACACATCAGTGTTCGCCTAGCTGGGTGAAGGGAGAGGGGTTTGTGTTACACGGAGACACTGAGGCTCCTGCTGCTGTTCTTCCACACCTGGCTGTTCTCACATAGCCGCCTGGCCCCAGAGTGGAGATGAGCATGCATGTGCCCTGTGGTGCAGTGGCAAGTATTTCTACCTGGGCAGGGCTTTCCCTTGTGGAAGACACTAAAACCCCATTTGTTCCTCTAGAAGTCTTACATATGGAATAGAAACTGACTGGAACCTCTCCAGACAAAAAGCACTGGGGAAAGTTACTTGATGTCACAGAGCATGGGCAGCTTGAGAACAGCGTCCCCACACCGGAGGCCATCCTCCCGCATCGTCCTCGGCAGCTCCTCGCCTCCTACGGACTGTTTTCTGCACAAGTTAAACAGACCCGCAAGAGAGGTTGCTGTTACGTGAGCTCGAAGCAGCCACAGAGTTCAGGTGAAGGAAGCAGAACAGCCTTCTGGGAGGACAAAGCTGGCCCAGCCCTCTGCCTCCCACCAGGGGCTCCGTTCACTCAGATTCTCACTCGAGATGGATCTGTTCCTTGCTGACACCCGAAAGGACGTGTTCTGGTAGGTGGGAGTTCTCTGAGGCTATAGAAGCGATAGTAGTTTGCTAACTCAGGACACAAGCTCAGAAACCTTCTCATTTCCTTCCCACCAGACCCGAGAGCTCCATTCTCTGCACAGAAACACACCGCCCTGCGCCACTTACTGTGAAGTTGCTCCGGATGGCAAAGTTTTCTGGCTTGATGTCGCAGAGGTGGAGGCGGTGGGAAAAGTCACTGTCAAAATGGTTCACCATGTCCAAGAAGCTGAGCGCGATGTCACTGATGGCCCTGGCCTGGCCACCCCCAGGGGCACCTGGGACCCGGTCCAGGGGGAAGAGTGCCCTGTGGTGGGGGCTGCCCGCGGCGAGGAACTCCACCGCATAGAAGTGGCCACAGGAGCCCAGCACAGGCAGCACGTGTGGGCTCAGGTCCTGCAACAGGCTGAAGTAGACGTACTCCTCCTGCTGCAGCAGGGCCCACAAGCTGGCCAGCTGTCCCCGCCAGCGCGGGCCCCGCCTGCCCGGCCACCATGGCCCCAGGCTGCTGTTGGACAGCTCCAGGCCCAGAGCGCTCTTGACCTCCCCAGCCACCATCAGGAGGAGTTCTGCCTCGGGGATGTCCTGGCCACCCTCCCCTGCCTCCTCTTCCAACAGGCTGAGGGGCGGGAAGCTGGAGAAGGCCTCCTCCTTGGACTTGAGGACCACGGGCCGGCCGCGCCAGTCGGCCTGTAGCACCTTCTTGCCCCTGTCGTAGTGCAGGCAGCGTTGGAACAGCAGCTTTCTCGCCACACACAGGTCCTCGCAGAGGTCCCCAGCCAGCGCGCCGCCCCGGTAGTCCTGGCACTGCAAGGAAGGGAACAGTCAGTCACCATGGGGAGGGCCAGGTGCCGTCCGTCTCTCGGCTGGGGTTAGGGAAAGGGACAGCCTGGCCTCTGCCCTCAGGATGCTGATAAGCCAACTGTGCAGAGAAACCTCGGTCCTGTGGATCGCAGAGGCCACTCAGTCAGTAATTCAGGGGAAGGTTAACGGAGCCGCTCACAGTCATTACACGACTCAGTTAGGCCTAGCACAGGTCTGCAGAATCAGGACACCTGCGACCGGGAAGCGCGACTTCCTATCTTTCAGCTGGGTGGCTCTGGGAAGCCAGAGGCCAGGAAACCAACAGGTGAAGGGCTGGACCAGGCCAGTAGCTCTCGACTCTGGCTACACTGCAGGGTCACTGGGAGAGCTTCTAAGTCTCACATCTAAGCAGCTAGGTCAGGTCTCAGCAGAGGGGACCCAGGAGCCCTATCTGCCCACAGGCTGGTCCACAGTAATGACCCTTCCTGCGGTACATTCCTTGAGCTTGCTGTTTTCCACGTGAAATGGAGTGGCCTGTAAAGCTTTCAGGCTGGAGGTCTGCAGATGTTTAGAGGAGAAGCCTCTGGAGGATACATGAGTGAGCACAGGGCTCATGGCTGGTGACCTGGAGAAGAAGGGGGACCAAGGAGGACCCATGCAGGATACATTCTGGAAGAGTAGGGCGTGTTTTCATCTGGGCGGCAAGCAAGGCTGTCCACGAGTCCCCGGATGGGGTGTTTCTCCTAAACTTCAGGAGACCTTAGGATGGAGCCACTAGCGGACCTGGAGACCTTCCCCACCACACCACAAATTCCCTGAGAAGCCCGTCCAGCCTGATAATCCTGCCAGAGGCAGGGAAGGAAGAAGTGAAGTATGGAAGGAAGGAGAGGACTGTCATCCTCTTCTCTCTTTTCTTTTTCAGAAAATCTAAACCACGGGACCACTTTAATTAGGGGTTGAGTATATTTCCTAATCCCACCCATTTCCCCAACAAATGAGTCTTCCTCCATGTCAGCAAATGAAGGCCTGTCTTCCTTCCGGAAACTTCTACAGCACATGAAACAACAGAGTCACCCTCGTTCCTCTAAGGCCATGAGAAATGCCAAATCCCAAAGCTGTTGTTCTCACCCCATTTCATGTATGAGAAAGGACCTTGAAGTCTCAGCAGTGGAAGGGCAGCTTTGGTGCCAGGACAAAGGATGGGGCCAAGGGCCACTGAGCTTGGATTCCATGGCCCAACCTTACTGCCACATCCTCACCTGCTCTGGGCCTCAAATTCCTTTCCTGCGTCGCACCCCCTGCCTCCCTGCATGGTGACTGTACCGGCCAAGAGGGAAGTGTGCGTGCATGCCACAGCATATGCACGAGCACCAGGCATTAGGAGAGGCCTGAGAACAGCCTTGGGTTCATAATTGGATACTGCCCAGCCTTGCAGGTGGCCAGGTAGATCAACTTGACCCATCCCAAGCAGATTACAAGCAGCTCCTTGAGGTCAAAAGCTGGACCTCTAGTGTCTAGACGTATAAATAATTCCAAAATCAGGAGCATGGTGGCTCACCCCTGTAACCCCCACACTTTGGGAAGCCAAGGCAGGCAGATCACTTGAGGCCAGGAGTTCGAGACCAGCCTGGCCAACATGGCGAAACCCCTTCTCTACTAAAAATACAAAAATGAGCCAGGTGTGGTGGTGCATGCCTGTAGTCCCAGCTACTAGGGAGGCTGAGGCAGGAGAATCACTTGAACCCATGAGGCACAGGTTGGAGTGAGCTGAAATTGTGCCACTGCACTCCAGCCTGGGCAACAGAGCAAGACTCTGTCTCAAAAAAAAAGAAATCCAAAATCAAAAAAACCTCTGAAAACTTACAAGTTTTTCATGACTCATTTGACCTTATGTGGTGTCAAAACCCGGCTGAAAAGTTACGAGCCTATTTGTATCTATATGTGTTTGACTTGGTGTGAATTCACATCCATTTTGCCGCAGAATTATTAACTTCATTACTGGCACTGCCCCACATGCAAAATATAAGGTAGTATATGATCTTTCTAACATTCAACAAGATTTGAATTTTGAGACACACCTGGCCCCAAACCATTAGATAAGAGAGGAACTGGGGGCTTTATAAACACTGCGGGCTAATCGTTCAAAGTGCTTATTGAAAAGAAACACTCCCAGACTCCCAGTGCTTAAAAGAAGTATCTAGATATTTTTCAGGACTATTTCAGGTAGTACAACAGCCTGAAAGGCCAAAGCCAAGCTGTCTGACTGCCCCCCCGGCTTCCTGCTGAGATGGGGGGGACGCTCCTGCCAGCCACTGCAATTTAGATCTCTGTATAATGCATTGGGTGGGGGTGACGGGGGTCTTGCTTGGCTAACACAATGATGCCAGCGAGAGAGACCTATAGACAGAAACTCATGAACCTGGCCCTGGAGCTAGGGACACCACCCTATTTGCCTGGGGCTGACTTTGTGTCTTTGGAAACCCACACCCGTAAGGAAGTTGTATGAACATACATTCACCAGCTGCTTTAAACACCTTTGGAGTTGTGCACCTCCTGTGTTCATCTTGGAACTGAACTGAACAGCATCTTGGTTAAATGTCATTCTTTGGCTTTAACCCTGGTCACTCTTTCCCAGGCACCGGATCATGAAAGGCACATGGGAGGATCCAGACTCTTCACGCCCAGCATGCTTTGCTTGCCATCACCTCCACATCGCCCTTCGGAAGAACGCGGCAGCTGGTCAAGCTCCTCTGAGACCTTTCAGGAGAGCCCTGAGAGGTGAGGTGAGGACGAGTGATAAGGAACTGAGGCCACCATGAGCAAGAAGATATAGATGGCAGAAGCAGCAAGGGCTGTTCATTTTACTTGTTGGGGTTTGTCCCCTACTAGATCTGGTATTTACAGAGTTTCACGTCTCTATAAATCTGATAAGAAAGTGCAAAACAAAAACAAAAAACAAACAAACAAACATTGTTTCCTGTTCTCCTTTTAAATTTAAAAAAAAAAAAAAAAAGCTTCCGTAAGTGTGATACCCAAAATAGTTGATTCACTCCCATAAAATTTTACAGTGTTCTCACATATTTAATGAAAAGTACTTTTGCATAAAGTAGAGAACCATTGAAAAAGAAAGGAAAGCACAGAATAGGACTCCAGTGTAGCCAGAGGTGTGACCCTGAGCTGGGAGCTTCAGAGTCCTGCAGTGCTGAGGAGGGGAGGGCGGGGAGACGTGGTCCTGGTTGCAACTGAGAGAGGAGGCTCAGGAGAGAAGTGTCAGAGAGACACAGGGCCCTGTTTTCTATTAGCCTGTGATAAGCAGAGTGAGGAGGGTGCCCACTGTGACTGCCAGGGCCCTCACCCCTGTCATCTGAACTGTGGCCACCATAGCCACTAGCCATGAGAGACACCTGCCGGCCAAGAAGCCACCTCCTCTTGGCTCCACTGGGATTGGGACTGGGGCACCCCCAGATCACCAGCGCCAGCTTTCCCAGCTGCGCCTGAGCCTGGACAGGCCACCATCTGGCCACAGCCGCCAGACTCCGGAGTTCGTGGAGCAGAGGGGACAGCCTTCGAAATTCCTAAATAACATTAGAGTGACAGGGCAGGGCCACATGAGGCTAAGCTTGGCACAGATTGGGTCTGCCTCTGGGTTCTGCCCCTGGCTTGCTGTGTGACTTGCTTCCGAGTCTGGAAAATGAGGACAATGGTGCCGTGTCCTGGAGTCAAACAAGGTCACAGGGAGACAGTCCTACCACAGTGTCCGGCCTAAGGTGGCTCGCTCAAGGCTAGTCCCCTCTCCAGCCCTGGTTAGGAAAAGGTGGGGGGCCAGGGCGTCTTCTTCCTGGGGGAGATGCCTCTGAGCTCAATTTTAAAAGAGGAGTTAGAAATCTGCCTTAGCAGGCAAGGGAGAGGCCAGCTGAGTCACGGAGAAGAACTTGTGCAAAGGCCCTGAGTTTCAAAGTAACCCTGTGTGTTCAGAGACCCAGAAACGGCCCCTGGGAGGAGAGGGCACAGTTGAAGCAAGCGCACCGTTCGGGTGTCTCCATCGGACTCACATACTTCCTACCCAGCCTGGCCAAATCAAAATTTGCCCGGAAGCCAGCCCCACCCCTAAGTGGAATTCTTGTCTTCCTCCCCTACCCTAGCGCTCAGTAAATCATGGCCATGTGAGAGCGTCACTGGGTCAGGTCCCCACAGCACCGTGTTTAATACAAACTGTGCCTCATCAATGAAATACAAATCTATACGAGATTTGCCCCTGTGAATTTGGAGGGCAATTCCAAACAGGAGTTGTGAGACATTTAGAACAATGGTGTAACTGTTGAATTTGGCATCCAGCCTATGGGTTTTGGAAGGAAACATTCATTTTGGCTGTTTTTCTGAAGATCAGAACTTTGACTTCCAAGCCTGCCTCCCTGACGCCTGCTTCTTGCTGCGACACTGGGTATCAGAAAGGGCAGAAAGTGCAGCAGGTGACGAAAGCCTTAACCAGACCTGCCAGCTTCTACAGGTAAGGTCTTGGGTTTGTAACCTAACTTTTCAGTATCCCGGTCACCGCGCTTGTCCTAAGAAAGCATTTACATTACAGCGACGCATGCCCAAAAACACACACAGCTCTTCCTCAACTTACAGTGGGTGATGTCCCAACAACCCCAGAGTAAGTTGAAAATGGGTTTCATACCCCTAACCCACTGAGCATCACCGCTTAGCCCAGCCTACCTTCAACATGCTCAGAACACTTACAGCAGCCGATGGCAGGGCAAAATCATCTCAAACAAAGCCAATGTAAAATACAGTGTTGACTTTCTCATGTAATATATTGAATACTGCCCTGAAAGTGAAAAACAGAATGGTTGTATGGATCCTCAAAGTGAGTTCCCACTGAATGCATCTCACTTTCACCACATCATAAAGTTGAAAAATCGTAAGTGAAATCATCATAAGTCAGGGACCGTCTGTATACAAGTGTGGTTATGTCACAGATGTTCCTTGATACCCTTTACAATGAAGTATTTTCGGCATTTCAGTTCCTACTCTTCTTATGTAGAACGCAAAATTCGTCTCCCATGGCTTACCAGTGTTAACGTCTAAGTCTGCAGCATTGGTCTGCATGTCTGGGCCTGCTAAGCACAGAAAAAGATTTCATCCAGCCTTTTAAAAAAAACAGTCAACTTAATGTACAAATTGCAAGTTTGAATTTAAAATTTTTATCAGGCCAGGCACAGTGGATCATGCCTGTAATCCCAGCAGTTTGGGAGGCTGAGGCAGAAGGATCACTTGAGCCCAGGAATTCAAGACCAGCCTGGGTGGGCAACATGGCGAGACCCCTGTCTCTGCAAAAATTAAAAAAAAATTAGCTGGGCCACACTTATAGTCCCAGCGACTTGGGAGACGGAGACAGGAGGATTACTTGAGCCTGGGAGGTAGAGGCTGCAGTGAGCCACCCTGTCTCAAGAAAACAAAGGAAAACCCCAAAAACTTTCATCATCTTAAAGATAATAGTAGAATTATTTTATTAGCAGCATATCCTGTTGAAGTAGCTGAGTTTTTTTTTGTTTTTAAACTCAATAGAAGTAGTTGATACAGGTCTATTTTAAAAGGTAGTCTTTCTTAGACTCCTCTGTGCATAGGAGGAGCTCCTAAGGCCAGCTTAAAGACAGGTACATTTTTTGTACCCAAATGTGTGTATATATAATCCAAAGGTATTGGAGTTGGAAATAAACTGAAAAAACAAGTTAGTCTCATTGCAGCTAACTCTGGCGTGCTTTTAAAATTAATTACATTTGCAGTGGATTTGTGCTTCTCATGGATGTGAAAATATCCACACAGATGCACATTCCCATCAAATCAGTCCTAGCTTTTGTAAGAAGCACTCTTTGCAATCATTGCTTAGTATCTTTCTATGTCATGGTTCTCAGGCAAAAACAAAACCGGTCCACTCTAGTCTAGAAAAACTGTTGATAAGGTCCCAGAGGTCATGTCTGAGGGCTGGGTTTTCTTTTGTGTGTTTGTTTTAAAGGAGCATTAAGCTCCTATGCAGTTTAGCATCACTCATACTTGACAGTGGTATTCTTTCCGAAGCAGTTATGCTGTGCTTTGCAGAATCTCAGCACAGTTAGCTCGTCCACTGTGTAACCCCTTTCTACTTTAGGAATGTGGCCGAGCATTCAGGCAGAGTCATTCACTGCTGAGAAATCTCTCTGGGTATGTGCCCTGGATGCTGTAGTCCCGTTGGGACCTCAACAGTTTCTATCACAGAGGCAAAGAAAGATAAGCCTGCCCTATTAAAAACGAAGCTCTAATGTAGACAACTACATGAAATTCCATCAAGACCTAACTAGCCAAAAGGCAGTTAAGCCTTCAGGATAGCAGTCTGTGGGAATATCTTTGACATGCTTTGAAAATGATTTGCTATGGAAGGGTTAAGTATACGAGGTGTTACATAGGGTTTCCACTATTAGAGAAGCCGCTTACCGTCACGTCATTGCTACCATCAGACTACACAGAGTCATGTCCTGGTGCCTCACCATATTAACTGTGTGAAGCAGGGCAAGTCACTTCACCTCCCAGGGGCTCAGTTTTGCCATCTGTGAAATGGGGATACTAAAAGCAACTACTTCATAGAGGTTGTTGAGGGAATTCAGTGAAATAAGCCCCATGAAATGATTCACACAGTGCCTTCCCAGAGGAAGAGTCAACAGACAGCAGCCCACATCTTCTGCCTCTGTGTGAAGGGCTCAGCCTGCAGAATGAATGAGAAGCCAGGCGTATCAATGATCCAGCACCAAGCTAGCCCCCCAGCTGGCTGGGCCTGCTGATACAGCCCACTGGAAAAGCGGGGCTCCAGAGACCTGAGTGCACCTATTTCTTGATTACGGTGTGTTGTCCCTCTTCAAGCCGCCATTAAGAAGAGCCCTAGAGTCTGACCAGGAAAATCTGAGCTGGAAGACCCGGGGCTCAGTTCCCTTGGAACAGTTCAGGTTGGCTCTTCTAGAAACTTGTCAGTGGGATGTGGTTGGCTAGAGTGGAACCTCCCTGGGGAGGTGGAGTGTGGGCTTGGGGAGAACATGGAGACCTCTGATCCCTATCCCCTGACTCTGACTTGCCCCTAAGCTTTTTCCTCTGATTCCTTTATCCTACAGGTGGGTTCACCCCTGGCAGGCCAGCAATGCCCCCTGCCAGGCGGGAGCCTGGGAACACTGGCAGCCCCCGCTACCGGGGGGCGGGAAATCCACCACAACTCCCTGGGCTCTGCCAGAAAGTCTCCCTTCGGCTCAGCTGGCAAAGTGGTTTCTTCTGTGCTTTGGTATTCAGAGTGAAAGCTAATGAGAGTCTGGAGGCCCATCAGGAAAATAACAACCAGTTTTATTATTACAGATAAAAGCCAGGCAGAATGAATCAGAAAGTGCCAGGGGAGCAGAGACAGAGGCTCAATTCAGTTCAAGTCCTCAGAAGACACAATGCCAACCTCTACTTGGCAACTCAGCCCGGCAGAGTTGGGATTGTGAAGACTGGGGTCGTATTTAAACCCTGTCCTAACTGAGAGTGTCCTGGGTAAAACTTGAGCCAGGGCACTGTGTGGGTCTCACATCAACATATGCAGGATGAAAACAGTAGAAAAGGAAGTGGCAGGCAGACAGGGGGAGAAAGAGTTCTGAGAATGTGTAAGGAGTAAGGAACTCAAACAGGGCCTGCGGCAAAGGCTGCTCCCCAACAAACCAGTTCACAGAGACAGCGTCACATCAACACCTAGGGAGATGGATGTGGCCTCCGCCATCGTTCTTTTGGCAGTAGGAAAGATTGAGGGCCTTCAGGGGCAGAACCAATCTCTCCAGCTTTATGTCTGACCAGAAATGATTCCATACGGCTGCCATTGAAGATATATTGGTAAAGCCTCTAAACAGAATTGGTTTTAATTTACGACCTGGAATGCTGGGAAAGTTATGATTAGCAATTACTTAAATTATGCTGGACGATTTAATTTCCATTATTAAGCCTTTCCTCACTTAACCAAAGGTAAAGAAATGAAAAATGGCATTCCTTTTTTATCTTAATCTAAAGGATTACTATATTAAATTTGTAAATAGGTGTTCCACTCTAGCCAAACCATCAATGTTTGTTTATTATAATTAGTCTATCAGCACTCCCTTTACAAGAAAAGAAAACCAGGGGGGAAAAAATTTATAAATGAAAAGGATTTTTATGGGTTCCTAAGAAAAATCAATGAGCTCTTACAACTTAACACTTGATAAAACTGGCCCAGTGTGGTGGTTCACGCCTGTAATGCTAGCACTTTGGAAGACCGAGGTGGGAAGATCACCTGAGGTCGGGAGCTCGAGACCAGCCTGACCAACATGGAGAAACCACTGTCTCTACTAATAATACAAAATTAGCCGGGCGTGGTGGCAGAGGTTGCGGTGAGCAGAGATCAGGCCATTACACTTTAGCCTGGGCAACAAGAGCAAAACTCCATTAAAAAAAAAAAAGAAAAGAAAAAAAGAAACTTGATGAAACTTAAGTGTAACACTAGAAGGGGTCAATAGAATCTATGGGTGTCTCACCTACATACGTTCAATTCACGATGACACTATGACCCGCGTCAGAGTCAATTAGGGAGCATAACTTGTTTTAGCTGGTATACCTGGCTCACTTTTTAAAAAAACAATTTCAGGCCGGGCGCGGTGGCTCAAGCCTGTAATCCCAGCACTTTGGGAGGCCGAGACGGGCGGATCACGAGGTCAGGAGATCGAGACCATCCTGGCTGACACGGTGAAACCCTGTCTCTACTAAAAAATACAAAAAACTAGCCGGGCGAGGTGGCAAGCGCCTGTAGTCCCAGCTACTCGGGAGGCTGAGGCAGGAGAATGGCGTGAACCCGGGAGGCGGAGCTTGCAGTGAGCTGAGATCCGGCCACTGCACTCCAGCCTGGGTGGCAGAGCGAGACTCCGTCTCAAAAAAACAAAAAAAAAAAAAAAAACAAAAAAACAATTTCAATCTCACTTAAAAAATCATTTACTTTAAAAACCTTTGTGGTCCCACATTTTGAAAATCTACAATCTCAAAAGGCCCACCCATATGTAAGCAACTGGACTGAAAACTTCCCATGTGTTTCTTGAAGAGTTTTTAGAAAATAGATCACTTTTCAAACCAAATGCTTAGACGGTCACTATTTTAGGAAGTGAATAATCGCTTGAGAAGTCATGTAAGAGTTGTTGCTACTATCTTCCCCTTTCTGGGATTTAGGGGACTCCCACGTTTATTCAAGTCTCCTTTGCGCCTGAAAGAACGGCCAGCCACGTTTCCAGTCAACTAAAGGTGGGTATTTCATTCACGTGATGTGAGCCCAGCGCACGCAGCAGTCTGCAAAATGCCAAATGTTTCTTCCTCACCCTAATTTTCCGGTTCAGTTGAGGAGCTGCTGGGTGCGAGCTTTCGGGCCCTCCCGGGTTAGGAGGCTCCTGTCGAGGACCCAGGATCCGGGATCCGCCCGGTCCGAGCCGCCTTCGCAGCGCGCTCTGCTCGCCAGAGCGCACGCTGCATCGGTTCCCACAGACCGCGATCGTGGAGAGCCCGGGCTCTGGAGCGCTGGAGGGCCGGGGTCCGACCAGCCCTCCGCATGGGCTTGGCGAGGTAGGGGGAGACCTGGCAGCTCAGGGCGGAATCACAGAACGCGGGCTGGGCTGGAGCGCTGCGGACCCGAGAGACAGAGGCGTGGCACCCCCGATCCCGAACCCCGCACTGGCTCGTGCCCAGAGCCCGGCGGCCTGACACCGGACGCCGGCACCGAGGGGCTGTCCGGAGGCTCGACCAGACCTAGACACTCGTATGAGACCCGCAAACTTTCTTCCGGAGCTCGGGCTCAGGGGTGGCGAGAGTAGGACGGAAAGGCTGTCTGGGGACAAAGGGCAAATGCTGGCGAAAAGGGGAGAGACACCCCAGCTAGCCCACAGAGCATTCCCGGCTGCTTCCCCATTCGGGGGACCAGGGCGTGCGCCTCTGGCATTCCACGCAGGTGTCGGGACCCCACGCCCCCGGCGGGTGCCACCCAAGTCCCCGGGGAAGGCTGGGGGTCGGGGACGGGTGCGATCCCCCCTCCCGGGACGCGCGGCGCGGGGCAGAGCGGCGGCGGGACTTACCAGCGCGGCCAGGATGCGCCGGCTCTTCTCGTTGGTGCAGCGCTCGGAGAGGACACCCGGGTGCGCGCGGAGCAGCAGTGCGGCCGCCAGCACCCAGCCCGCGGTCCACGCGGCGAAGGCGAGGAGCGCGCCCCGCCCGCAGCGCCCGCAGCGCCCGCGCCGCCCGCACCAACCCGCCCGGCCCCCAGCGCGCCGCCGCCCGCGCCATGGCCAGCCGGCCGCGCCCGGCCAGAGGCCACCCCGCGCCCCTATTCTGCACTCGCGTCGCGGCTCCCGCGGCTCAGGCCCGCGCCGGCGGGGAGGGGGGCACCAGGGGAGGGCCGGTGAGGGTTGGGGCAGGCCCCGCCGCCTGGGGCGGAGGTGCTATGGAGGGCCCGTCCAGCAAAGCAACACCCCGCGAGCCCTGAGAACGCCAGCTGGGGGTCCACTCGCCGCATCCCCCTGCTCGCACCCTCCCCACTTTTTTTTTTTTTTTTTTTTTTTTTTGCAGCTTTTTTTTCCCCCCCGAGAAGACCCAGGCTACCCACTTAAACGAAAATCCTGGGTAGATTCAATCCCCTCCCTCTTTGGGTACTGATTCCTCCGACTAGCATATCTTCATTGTCCAGCATTGCCCGCCTGCCCCCCCTTCTTCCTCCTGACCGACTGCCAGGTTCCCCGGACCCCAGGCGCTTTTTCCACAGCACACCGCCTCGCCCCGGGGGGCTGGCAGCGCTGTTCCCACCCCGTTACCCTGCTCCTTCTAGAACCCGCGCCTCCTCTGAGTCTCCACCCCAAACTTGGGTTTTCCTCCGGGCCCTGCCCCGTAGTGAGATCCGGAGCGTGCCGAAGTCGGGGGTCGAGGACAGTCAGGACGGTTCTGGACTACCCAGCCCCTCTCAACTTCCCACGGGCAGCCGCCTGAACTCAAACCCCGCCGTCTCCTAGGCTGGAAAAACTCGCTGGCGTCCTCTTTCAGGGCTACAAAGAGCTGCTCTGCTGGAACGTCTCCCCGGGGAGGAGGAACTACGTCCACCAACAGTGTGCTAAAATCTGTAACTTATAGATTTCGCAGTATCATCTGGGAAGAGCAGCATCAGTGTTTTCGCATCCCAATCGTATCTGTAAAGCAGACTGGCCCCTGGGCCGCACAGGGCGTCCCGGTTTCTCCACCAAGCATCCCCCACCCCTA